CAATTAGTCATTTTCTAAAACAAGCATTTTTCCTAAGTGTCGATTTTCATTTTGCTGAAGCAGATGATCGTTGTTAAACCAAACAATCTGCCATCCCCTTTCTTTCTCTTCCTCATCCTCCTCTTCTCCAGCCTGTCCGCCCCAGTCCTCCCCTCTCTCTCTCAGGCCAGAGAGCTGTTTGTTCCCGCTCTGTGTGTGGCTCTGGTCAGCTTCAGTTACCTCTCAGCCCTGGGTTCAGTGTTTGCCAACAAACACGGCTACCACATGGACTCCAGTCAGGTACATTCATGGCAGTTGTTAATGCTCAGTATGTATATCATTATTTGTTATCGGACGGTTATGTTAAATCACTCAATCACTAAGTCAATCCTGAGGCACCGGAGAAATAATGTGAGTTTACAGTGTTACTATTGTTATTTATACTGGAATAATCCCTGTATTCATCCATCATTCTGTATTTACCTGTAGAAGTACCAGCTCAACAGTTCTAACAATGATTTTTTACAACATTTATGAGCACTTCCTGCCATTGTGTGTTCTCCCACCTGTGAGATTGTCAGCCCCTCCCTTGATTGTTGCCTCCTGTGTCCCCTTACCTCTTGCGTATATATAGTCCTCGTCTCACTTTGTCCTATTCCAGTTCGTCATCAAGAGAGACAGCTTTTTCAATCCAAGAACCATTGTAGCTTTTTCTCCTTGTCAAGTTTATTTAGATGTGTGGTTTTGATTTGCTCTTATTACATTGTGCCTCTGTGAGTGACTTGTTGTTGCTCCTAGAAGTAAAGACCTTTTTAGATTTTTGAAACCTGCTTTGAGTCCTGCTTTTGAGTTCCAGTACCTGTGTCACGTTCCTAACAGTTCGTAATTCAAAAGGAGGCTTATTAAAGAATGATCATTTTGGCAGTAAAAGCTATACAGAGGCCTCGATCCACAGCGACATTTACATAGAGTATTTAGCAGATCGCTTACCGTCTTTTCAAATACCTGCCGTGTGACTCTGGGTCAGGACCTGCTGGCTCTGGGTCTGTGTAACACCGTAGGAGCGATGTTCCAGTGCTTCGCTGTCAGCTGCTCCTTCTCTCGCAGCATGGTCCAGGATAGCATCGGTGTCAAAACGCAGGTATTCTATTCTATTCCAAACGACAATTAAAAACACAAACTCACTTTTGCTCTGAAATGAGTTTCGAGAAGAAGTTCTTGTAATGGCTCTTTTACACATTATTTTCTTCAATGTTGTTTTTTTTTCTTTCTGTGCTTTTCATCCTATGCTAAGATGGCTGGTTTGGTATCAGCTCTGTTGATTCTGACCATCCTGTTGAAGATCGGTCACCTCTTCGAGCAGCTGCCAAAGGTAACGCTCATATTGGATAACAAAGAGTATGTATCTTAATCACATGTGTTGTTAAGCAAGTAACAAAAGGTGTGTGTTGACAGTTCTCCAGCCTGTATGGCTTCCCATAAACCATAGATGACAATGAAATAATGGAGCAAATCAGTGAAGATGTTTGAAAAAAAAGTCAAGTCACGCTCCATCTGGAAGAGACTAACCCTCAGGATGACTCATATTAGTTCAGTCACACACTGCTGTCTGTTCCAGGCAGTGATGGCAGTGATCATCGTGGTGAACCTGAAGGGCATACTGGCTCAGTTCAAAGATGTGTGTGTGCTCTGGAAGTCTGACAGATTAGACCTGGTGGGCTATACACACACACACACACACACACACACACACACACACACACACACACACACACACAAACATCATTATCTAAACTCATAGCATAAATTCCTTGCTACAAACACCACTGCCCCCCCCCCCCCCCTCTCTCCTCCTCTCTAAAGCTGGTGTGGGTCTTCACGCTGATTTCCACGCTGGTGTTCAACCTGGACCTGGGTCTGGCTGTGGCCGTGGTCTTCTCTCTGCTCACACTCATCTACAGGACTCAACAGTCAGTATCATTCAACAGCTCATTTCACATCAGTTACTGTTTAATAATTATCAGACGGTATGTTTATTGGTTGCCATTCCATTCAATTTGAAAGAAAATTAAAAATAATATGTTTATGATATAAAGAAATATGGCTTTGACATAAAAGTCTACTTAAAGAAATAAACATGGAATTATAATATAAAATACCCTGAAATAAATAAATGTTGATTAATGAAATAGAAGTCCCTAAAATAGAAAATAAACATCCTTTTATAAAAAATATTATAAAACACTATTCTTTCTAAAAGATATTTTGTTTTGGGACATTTATTTTTATTTTGTTAGCATATTTAGTTACTATTTTATTATATATTTAATTTTGGATCTGCATACATTATCAGGGTGGGGCAGTGGTGGCCTTAAAGTTTAAAAAGCCAGCTCGTAACTTAAAGGATCAAATTGGGTCAGAAAAGAAAAAACAGCCATTCCCTTGAATAAATAAATACAAATTATTTGATTATATTTGATTATATAGGGGTTAAGACTGAGAATCGTGTTCTAAATATACTGTATGTGCTAAAGCTTTATCGTGTAGATTTATTTAGTTTTCATTCATTTTTACTAATTTCATTATATTTTCTCATGCATCTAAGAAGTTTTGTAATTTATTTTCTCCTCCCCCTTGTCACCCAGACAGACGTGCACCCTCATTAATAACCCCCTGTCTCTCCCTGTCTCTCCCCTGTCTCTCATCCTGTCTTCTCTTCCAGCTCCTCCACTCTTGTTTTGGGTGGTATTCCCGGTACAGACTGTTACAGAGACGTGGGACTGTACGCGGAGGTAAACTCAATCTGTCTCATAACTCTCACAGCAAGTTCCCAAAAACCTGTTTGAAGAAACCTCTTGATTAAAGTTTGATGTTGCTCACAATAAGTAGAGCAAAGTAAAGCCTGAAGGTAATTAGGAAGTCAAATGAGAGACAAAAACAACGCTTTGAATGCAGACTCAGAATTTGCATCATTTTTCTTTCTGTCTTTCTTCTGCCTTCCCTGTGTTAAGATTTACAGGATGAACATGGTGAGTTTCTGTCCTTCTCCACCAGCCTCAACACATCAGTTATTTTCCTTATAGTCAGTTTTCTAAAGCTATGGACTTCCAATCTTGCCACAAAAGGGCTCATTATGTCATAGTTATAGAGAAAGTGGATGACATAAGCCATACAGACGTTAAGGGATTCTTAAAGGAATACAATCATTAAAGGGCTGACAAAGTTCACAGCTTTGTCAGCATGGAAAACCACATCTGGATACCATATGCCCCCATGTCAGAAATCAGAAGAAGTGCTCTCTTGGATTATTTTATGGTGGATAATAAATGCTCAAGTGCACTGTAAGGTGCCCCAATGTCCAGGAAAAGTGCCCCAGGGTGCCTTTTCAATGGAGAAAACGTGAAGCATTCCCATATAGCAGCTGGTTTCCTTTTTCTTCTTTGGGCCCCTAATCCTAGAACACGCACATTTTACTTATATGTTCCTGTTGTGCAACCATACATTTCTTCCATAATAATAAATAAGTATGGAATGAATAGGACAATAGGGGGCAGACACTTGATACTGGAGAAAATGAATGCAGCAAAGGGTTAAAAACACCTCAGTCAGTCTTATAAAACAACGACATCATGGCACTGTGTGAATGTAATGTTGTTACAGCTCATAATTGCGCAGCAGGCCACAATACACCTTCAGTATGCCGAAGCCTGTCTCCTCCTGACCCTGAACTGATAGAAAGATGACTCACACTGACCTGATGACCTGAGCCGATCGCAGGCTGTGGAGTAGCATATCTAAACTGCCATCAGTGTGAAACACAGTCAATAATCATTTCTCCAGGTCCCGTCTTTTATCTGCACACGTTACACACTCATTATTAAACTAGAGCACATCGTCTGCAATGCAAATGCACATTCACACAGCAAGCATCTGATGCCTGTAACGTGCAGGCGTGTAGATCATTGTCACGCTGAGTAAATGCAATGTTTTCACATAATGGTAAGGCATTCATAAATATAAACCAGTTTGAGAAGTATATATGTTGCAAGCTATCAAAACACGGTGTCTTCCACCAAATAACACAACCAATTATTTTGTGATGGTCCGTTTTTCATAAATGAAGCACTCTGTCACGCAGCCAAAACACACTCAAATGCATCCTTGGCTGAGAAACGCCATCTGTCCCACATCAAAACCCTGAACTGTCACCAAAGGCAATCTGTTTGGGCTCAGAGCAGAGAATCCCTGTCAACATCGCCGCTCTGTTCCCGCCACCTGATCTCCCCTCTGTCAAATACCCATCATACATCAGTGGTGGTGCATGCTGCGGATATCTGTGAAGAAGTTCTCCCTCATTCTGTTGTCTTCCTTTTTTGTTGTCTTTGATGCGATAGCCAGAGCTTTTTTAAACTTCAGATTTTTGAGTCCCTGAAGTAGACATTTCTCAAAGTGGTATATTGTATGTTTCAAAGACGGTTTCAAATGCATTTATTCCTTACTCGGTTTGTGCCATTTGGGTAGCAAATACAGACTTTAAATGCAACATATTTAGCCAATTCTGATCCAGGGTGTCACTATTGAGCCAAGTTGTAAAATGCAGGTGCAACATTAAGTCCTGCGTGTGTCTCTGTTGTTCTCGATGTTTTTCAGGCAAAGCAAGTCCCTGGAGTGACCATACTCTCCCTTTCCAGTCCTATTTATTTTGCCAACTCTGAACTGGTCTTCACACAGATCAGACAGGTGCCAACACACACACACACACACACACACACACACACACACACACACACTCTGAATGACATAAAAGAGGATCATTCAGATCAAATCAAGAGTTGATGTTTAGTCATAGAGTTGAGATAAATTTGCTTTTCCTCCCCACATCCAGACAGTGAGTCGTGGTCAGAAGGAGAACCCAGCTGGAGTCCAGACCTCCTACTCCTCCTCCTCCTCCTCCTCCTCCTCCTCCTCCTCCTCCTCCTCCTCCTCCTCCTCCTCCTCCTCATCAGCCGAGACGACGACGCACACTCATTGCTTGGTTCTAGATCTCAGCTCTGTCACCTTCGTGGACTCTGTGGCCAAAACAGGACTCTGCAAGGTAAGGGAATTATAAAAGTCATCTTCAGTTCTTTTTAGCTAAATACCCCAAAACATCTCGTAAATGATTGATTTGCATTCTTGATTATTGTGGTTGGCACTAATTAGGATGTTGAGTTTGCACCAAAATGCCCACAGATTGCCTGTCAATCAAACGGTGTGGGTGGGACATTTGACCTGATATTACCTTTGAGTTACTGCAGCTGATGCTCTTTCTTTGTCTGAGAATCAAACAATCGCTCATGCAACAAATGATATTTCTTACAAAACACCTACTTCATACTTTTGAATCCCTTTCTACTTTTTCAATATAAGATGATGAAGTTATCCATGATAAACATACATGTACTAGTTAGTATCTCAACATTTTGAACTCATTTTATAATGTCTTACCAATGTAATAGTTTGACACTTTGTTTGCTGGAAATACTACATTTGCAAACAAAACAAAAAATAAAGCACATTAGTTGTTTCAAGTTATTTTTAGCTTGACTAAATGTAGCACTTCAGTCATTTCTGTTAAGTTGGAAACATCACTGTGTGATGGTTTGCTCTTAAGCTGCCAATTCTCAATCTGTAGTGGTCAGTTGCCGTAATGGTTGGCTGTCCTCACACTGGCTCCTCTCTGCGGATCAAAGACTGACAATAAATTATTATTTAAGGCTCAACTAGATGACCAGTAATTGCCAGTTGGATAATGAGGATATGAGACACACCCTCTAATGGTCTCAAACTTCTCCCAGTTTTGATGAGTAGTTAATTTCCCTGATATGCCTTTGTTATCTAATACTGTTATTTGACCTCATTGATAAAAGAAGAAGAAAATTCATTCATCAACCTCACAGACTTAACACGTGCTGTGTGTGTGTGTGTGTGTGTGTGTGTGTGTGTGTGTGTGTGTGTGTGTGTGTGTGTGTGTGTGTGTGTGTGTGGTGTGTGTGTGTGTGTGTGTGTGTGTGTGTGTGTGTGTGTGTGGTGTGTGTGTGTGTGTGTGTGGTGTGTGTGTGTGTGTGTGTGTGTGGTGTGTGTGTGTGTGTGTGTGTGTGTGTGTGTGTGTGTGTGTGTGTGTGTGTGTGTGTGTGTGTGTGTGTGTGTGTGTGTGTGTGTGTGTGTGTGTTGTGTGTGTGTGTGTGGTTTGTGTGTGTGTGTGTGTGTTGTGTGTGTGTGTGTGTGTGTGTGTGTGTGTGTGTGTGTGTGTGTGTGTGTCAGGTTGTAGAAGACTTGGGACTCCAGGGTGTCAGTGTGTGTCTGGCAGCGTGCCCAGGTGAGCTTTATGTTTCATGCTCATGTATCTCCTACAGAGCTAAGTCTCTTCACACACACACACACACACACACACATAAAAACACACACACTCTTTGTCTAAAGTTGGGCTGCCGTGCTTTCTCAGGTCAGTTTCCCACTACCCCTCCCTTACTGTAGCTCTGCTTGACACATAGCTTTCTTTTTCATGTATAAACCGTGACAGTTTGTGTGCTGCAAATCATCACATAAACACATCCAACCACAAAACCAAGCAACATTTGGTCCCATTTACCTGCATTGTGGAATTGTTCCCTGTGTCTGTCAACAGAAACAGTGTTATCTAAGCTCCAGACTCAGGGTTGTATATGGGACAGCCTGTTCAGCTCCTGTGTCTTCCCATCGGTCCATCATGCTGTCCAGCACTGCCTCAGCACCCTGCCTCAGCACCCTGCCCAAGCCTCTGGAGGTACGCATCTGTAGACAAAAAAAAAGAACAATTTCAACAGTGTTTTAAAATTATGTATCTTTTCTTTGCCCTTTTTCTTATTTAGCAATTAAGATATTTTCTTATATAATTTGAGCCCTAAGAAATGTTTTGTTGAATTGGACCATGAGTTTTCCAGTATTCCTGGAGGCACATTAGAAGGGAACTCCACTCAGCAGTCTGTTTACAGGTGTCAAGAAATACTGCTGCATGTGTGAAAAAAGAGATAAAGCCTCTAGTGGCCCTCTAATGAGCGGCCCAAAATCTCAGTGCCACTAAGCGATGTGACTTTAGTAAGCTTCAGTTGTGGCTGGAGACTGTAAGTCCTAAAATGAGAAAGACAAATTGATTTGTGGTGTTAAAAAGAAGTGATCTTACTAGACCTCTGAAGCCCACTCCTCATGTCTGGTGGAGGTTTGCACCGTGAGGCGACGTTAGCCACTACAAGCATAACACAACAGAATCCCAGACCAAAATGGCAGCAGTTTAAGAGGCATACGCACCAGGTATCTTTAAGAAGAATTAAAGAAGACTCTCTGGTGCTGCTGCCTCAATTTTGATCCTATTGTAACCCTGTCCTACAATGATGTAGGAGTGCAAGATCATTGGAGTACTCAGTTTACACCTCATTGAATATATAGTGCACAGCAGCATTTTACAATATATTAATGTTTGTTTATTTGTTTTGATCTCTTCTCAGGAACTTACTTCAGATGCAACTGAATGTTGAATCTACATCACTGTGGTCTTTAATTGTGAATGACAGACAGTTAAGTCATCTCACCGTAACAAGAACACTGTGCTGATAGTTTGGGCTTTAAGGTGGCAGAAACACCAAATATCTCCTTTCATAATACGTATTTTGTACACTTCTCACACATTTCCAAACAATAAATGTAATTGTTTCATGACGTTCCCCCTCACTGAGCTCTTTATTATTATGGTGCGGCAGGAATCAGTCTTTAAACTGGAATCAATGTAGCATTTTGCACTTACAGTTCCCTCATCTTTGGGCAAATGTTTTTTAATACGTTTTTAGTTACATTCCTTTAATAAGGTGAATGGTTAGCACAAGCTACTTCAAACTCTATTCCTCCTTTAGCTTATTGGTGGTGAGGTTAAAGGCATGCAACTGCAGTTTGGTTTGGTTTTTTCTTCTGGTGACTGCATTTGATTCAAATTATTTTATTTTATTTAAAAAATGTGTTTATTTGTAAAGATAATCTTGCTGAACAAAACATGTAGGTATCATATCATTTGTTGGCTGTGCCAATGTTATTTTTGGTTTCAACCCACATACCTACTTTTTGGGCATGCTTTATAATGCACCACTTAGCTTAAAATCACCTCAGAAAGGACACAACCACATTTCCTGATGTAGGAGGTCAATTTTATATAAAGTAATGTATTCATGCCGTCTGTGCAACCAAGGTTACTTGTACTGTGCACAGCAGAACCTGAAGTCCCCCCTCTCCCCTTGGCTACCGTAGAGTATGCAACGTGTACATAGTCAATAAAGAAATTGCTAATATAAGCTTCCAAAGAGGAGAAACTTGGTAAGAATGTGTCTGATTTAGGAGGAGAGTGCCTTATTCATTTGGCTAAAACTTTAGTTACACAAATAAAATAAAGAAAAAGTTGACAATGTGACAAATTAATCCGCCACTACAGTACTGCTGTTAATATACAATACTGTGTTGTGTGATAACGTAGTATAAAGATGTAATAACTTGGATCCCTGCAGCAGCTAACAACAGTTACAAAACACACACAAAAAAAACTGTATACTGAACTTTCACATACCGAGGATGGGAGTCAACTTTACTTTCATAATTGTGTCTTAGTCTCTGTCTATCCTGTTCTGTGGTTTGGATTAAGTCTTATCTGGAATTTAAAAATAAACCAGTATGACTGGCATTATGAGTTTATTTTTAATTTCCAGATGCAGATCGTGTGAATGAAAGAAGTTATAACCAAGTGGTAGGACACAACAATGATAGAACTACAAAATGTATGGTGGATAGGACACTGTTTCATGCACATTGTAAAGAGTGATTAATGAGGACTGAAACCTTTCATTTTGGGGGGGAAACCAGTAATTTAGTTAAATTGTCGTATCTTTTCTCTTGCTTTTCTATTTTTTATGTTTTTCAATACCTTATATGTTTTGCTCCTTTCCTTAGTTCCTGGCTCTATCATTATTGTGCAACTGTTTATGCCAGAAATCATGAAAAGATACAAAATATAGTTAAATGAATGCCAAATAAAAAATGAAGCATTACTGAATAAAGAAGAAACATTTCAAAACTACAGTAAGTGGGTATGCAATAAAAAAATCAATGAGTCACTATTGATTCCACTCTCTTATTGATAAGATAATTACATTAATGAATGTAAAAGCTTGTTATCTGGTGCCAGTCTTATGCGTCATTAAGGAAATTAACATGGCTCAAAGTTTATAAAAGTTAATTGCTTAAAACATGTTGTGTTTTAAAAGTGTCCGGTCTCAATGTATATATATATTCAAACGTAGCCTACTTATTTGAATTAAAAATAAATGTTGAGCAAGCACAACACAGTAACCCACAGATCGCCTCTGGGTGTTGTCAGGACTCAGGAGTGAGCTCTGCTGCACCTTTAAACTCACCCAACTGTGACAGCAAGGTTTGAGTCATCAAAAACAATATCAAGTTACTCTTTATTGATGAGCCAACATTTTTCCGGTATGAAAACATTTCCGTTTCCATTGTTACATTCCTCCGACAATTCACCACATCATATCAGTGTTTTCAGAGCGTTAAAATGAATCCCGATGTTGTGTATGGTTACACACTTTTAAGTCAAAACAGAACATCCCGTTAAAACGTGCTATGTTCATTTATCATCAGACAAATAAATACCAAAGTCACTTTAACCACGAACGAATTGTGGTATTCCAGTAGTTAGACAAATGATAATGTGGTTCTAAGTAAACGAGGAGTCCGCTGTGCTGCATTAAAATACCTAGCAGAGGATGGTTTCGATCCATCGACCTCTGGGTTATGGGCCCAGCACGCTTCCGCTGCGCCACTCTGCTGTCTGGAGTGACGCCATGAGTTCAGCAACAAAATATAATCTGTTTGAATGCCTGATATATTATGCATTTCTTCATTCATTGTTCTAACAATGCACGTCTAAACCTTCTTATAATACATCCGTGGTCTAAAAACCCATGTTATATTGAGTAACCTCAAATGTACAGATGTCCCCTAAACACATCTCAAGCCCGTCGGACGCAGCCCCCGTCAGCCAACAGAGAGCATGGTGCTCCCATGTATGGGACGGACACAGGTTATGAGAAGATTGAAATAATTCGTTTTTAATGTTAGTGTTGGAACTGCTAGGGGGATTGCCAGTGAAAGAGAGGCTGTTGAGAGAAGTTGAGGAAGTCAAGCAACATTTTTGACTCAGTAATGTAGCCTACATGTAGCCTAGGGAGAAGCCTAGATCGTCTACTTTAGTAAAAGTCGAATATTTTGTTACAAGTGAAATTGCTGCAATCAAAATACTCCTCAGTTATAAGTACAAAAGTATAATATAATCATAAGTACTCATTATACAGATCCGTCCATTTCAGAATTATATCATGATTTACTCCGGGTGTAAGTGTAACTAAAGTCTTATCAAAGTGTTGTTTATATTTCACATTATTAATCAAAATCTGCAAAGTAACTTGAGTAAATGTACTTAGTAACTTTACACAACTGGCAAAGTAAAGATAATAGTCTATTATCTACCGGTAAATCTGACTGTGTTTTTAAGAATGCACATTGTTTGTCCCGATAAGTTAACCAGTGACGCCCTTAGATTGACTCTCTTTTGGTGAAATAATAAATGAACTTTAATGACTGAGCTGAAAGGAGAGGTAAAAACAAATCATGCAGAGAAAAACATACTAGGTTCATTCATCATCAGCAAATCGTGATAATGTGTCAACTGTGCCGCTTCAAAACACCTAGCAGAGGATGGTTTCGATCCATCGACCTCTGGGTTATGGGCCCAGCACGCTTCCGCTGCGCCACTCTGCTGCGTGGTAGACTGTATGACTTCATTATAAAAAAACTTCATTTGAATGTCGAATAATATTTAGTACTTAATTGATTGTTCTGTCGATGAATGTCGGACTAAACCGTATTATATTATTCATCCCAAATGTACAGATGTCACCTTAACGCATCTCAAGCGTGGGACGCAGCTCCCCAGCCTGCCAGAGAGCAACGTGCAAACAGATGTGTTTCCGACACAAGTTTTGAGAAGATTTTAATGAATTATTTAGGCCACTGGGGCTTCTTACACCATAAACATGGGCAAGTCATAAATTCCAGTTGAATTAAAACCGGCTTTCCATTGTGATCATTACACGTGGGATTATTCGATGTTAATGTGTTTGTTTCAGAGAGTGCCCCTCTGCTGGCAGTCAGTCAACCCAGATGGGACTCCAAACCACTTGCACCTTTACTGTCTGACTTTGTAGAAGGGAAGAAAAAAAGACCATAGTGTAGTGTGACATTTTAATGAAAAGATCAGAGCTATAAAACACGGTTTGTCTTTAAGAAAGCATATTGTTTGTCCTGAAAAGTTAACCATTGTCTGTTCTTCCACTGATAAGGCAAGCTATCTGAATTCACTCACTTTTGGTAGTAATAATACATTAACAAGGCTTTTACTGACTAAGCTGAAATTGTTGACAAATCTAATCAAACACAGAAACAATATTAGACAGAAACACACAGATAGGACATATCTAAGGCTTATATTTTAGTTTCATTTTAATTTTTTTTATCTTGGACTAAGGTGATTAACAAGACAAATACAAATCTAATTACAATAACTACATAAACTTACTCTGTAAATGATCAAACATACATGGTCCTATCTAGTTTATTACACTTTTGTTGCTTCCTCTACAGGACAACATGCACTGTTTAGAACTTTGCCCTCTCACTCCACAACAATGTCCAACTCCATCTAGACTTCTGTTTAACGTCACTACGCACAGTGGCGAGCTACAGCATAGGTGGAGACTGTCTCACCGTGAGACAACTGAAGGAGAGAGGAGATAGGGAGGAGAGAAACATTTATATGCACAGGTTTTTTGGTTGTCTATTTTGTCAGAGACTCCTCTCTGGGATTATAAAATCAAACCTGGCTTTTGTCTGTTGGCGAAACATGATTTGTCTTTTGATACCACTTGGAGCCGCTTGGATCTGAAGGAAGGATCTACAGCAGATTCAATCAGAAGCCCAGGGACCTCTGCACACAGGAAGGATTGATTTTTTTTATCAAGAGGGATGTGCCATTTTATGATTTGAGATTTGTTTAGTTTTTTATAAAGCTGGAATATTTGCATTAACTACTGACAAGAAATAGACCTCGACTTGGATCTATTTTCTCAGCGCCGGAAACAATTATATTGATCACACTCAACTTGCATATTTTTTTTCTCAGGGCTTCAGTAGGTCCGTGGCATTTAAAAAAAATATATAATAATTATAAAAACTTAATTAAGACTTTTTTTGCTGATACAGCTTGAGCACACAAAGGTAATTAACATCAACAAATCAAACCCTTCAGTCCCAAAAGGATCGTGATTAGGACCTGAATGAGCATGGACTTATCAAATTATATTCTTTACAGCTGTTATTATGCCAAAACAATATTAAGATTAAAATATTAAAGATATGGTAATGTGTTGTGAATTTTAAATATATATTTGAATGTCTATTCTAACAACATGGGAAACACTGTTAAAAATACAATTGCAGCATTTGAGCAATAGGCATTGAAAAATATAAGAGCTGGATTTTCTGACTAAACAAATATAGAAGCTAGTTAATTGTTTATGTCGCTGCTAGATTTAGCCATGGAGGAGAGGAGACGAGCGGGCTACAACGTTCAGAGGGAAATCCTGGACGAAGGAGCCGTGGATGAGATGGCAGAAAAGTCAGACTCAAAAACATCTTTGTCTGAGAAGCTTAAAAAGTCAATGAGGTAAAGTTTGCTGCATCTCAACTAATCTCTCTAAACACACTGAGACATGTTCCGTCCTTTATATGTTCATTTTGTATCAAAGCATAAAGCACTTGGGACACAATAGGAATAAGTGAGTCTTCAAACACCAGATATTGTATTTATATACTAAAGTCATAGAGCTGTACTTGTTAATTATCCCCAGCCCCTGATAACTTAGACTTAATTATAACAACAATTTTCTCTTTGTACGTAATATGACAGTCAGCAACTTGTGCAGTAACACATTTACTATATCAAACTATACCATGGTAACATTGTATACTGTCTTTCCACATTATATACTTTATTTGATTCCCACTTTGCTATCTTAATACAGACAACACTACTTAATCGCAGCATATATTTATCTGCCGCGATTAAGCATACATGATGCCCCTTTAACTCTTTGTCATTATTTGCTCTTCTATAGCTGTATACCTCTTTTTGTACTTATCTTTATCTGCGCCTAATTTTGTATTCCTGCTGCTGCAACACTTTCATTTTACTTCGAATAATCAATAAAGGATTATCTTATTTTATGTCAGAATATTTTTATTATCCTGTTGCAAAAGCCTGGGCTATGCATGTCAATAGGTCTTTCACTCGTTCCACTTTTGTCCGCATTTTAGATTTAAAGTCAATCACAAAATGTGTTTTTTGTCTGAGAAAAAAAGCCACACGTCATGTCTTTTAAATGTAGGAATAGTGTTAAGTTAGTTCTCGAATGATTACCAGAGGAAGCAGAGAGGATAAAGATAATTTATTAACTTTTTGTTGTATTAAGATGAAAAAAGATAGGTCAACATTAGTGGCAAAGTGACAATGGCCTCAAGGTGCCTTATACAGACTTAACACGTATGCTGATGGATGTCTTAACACAATTCACAAAATGTTTCTGTCTCTTTTTTTCTCTGATACACACACTAAGGTGTTCTGGTCCCAGGGTGAAGAGCTGCCTGCTGGGTAGCTTTCCTGTTGTATCGTGGCTGCCTCGGTACTCTATCAGAGAAAACGCCCTGGGTGACCTGGTCTCTGGAATCAGTGTGGGAATCATGCATTTACCGCAGGGTGAGGCTGGAGGTTCAGGAGATCAGTTTAGTGGAGGGGTCATTTGGTAGAAGAGATAAAAGAATGAATGGAATGATCATTTATTTAAAATGGTAAAATGCAGGTTCTGCATTACCCTGATATGTTGTTATAACCCTTTTCTGTACTTACTATCTCCATATGCTTTCCTTGCAGGTATGGCCTATGCCCTGCTAGCATCTGTTCCTCCAGTCTTTGGCCTTTACTCCTCTTTCTACCCCGTCCTTATCTACTTCATCTTCGGCACCTCCAAGCACATCTCAATCGGTTTGTACTTTACCCGTTGCTGTATCTGCACACAAGTTGTTTGGAGAAGGGGGATTTAATCCACCAGAATGTTGTTTGGACAAAAAAAGAAAAACAGATATAGGTTATCAAACAGTCTAAGGATATTCATTTGTCCACTAAAAATATACGTTTGACATGCTTGTTTTTAAAGCTTGAAAACCTGGTCTCAAATAAGAATAAAAACTACTCTGATATTATAAAAAATGTCAGCATTAAAAAATAACTGTTGCACTTTGAAGATTGTGTTAGTGTGGTCTGATCAGACTTGATGAAAAGTGGCATCTCTATGTCAGCATGAGCACATAAAACCATACCATTTAATAAAAATAAATCAGTTTAGCATGGTAGACTTGTGAAGATGTATCCCTGAGCCACACAAGTGCCTTGTAGAAGAAGACTGTCAAAGGCATGAGTGAATATGACATTTATCTTTGGAACTGCCCGAAATGTATGATCCAACTTCACAACTCCTTTTGTATTGCTCATTTCTGATTGGTAGGTGTAAATACAACATGGGCAAAGACTTAAAAAAAGTAAATGTTGAGAGAAACATTAGGTTTCTGTTCAAAGGTTCAAAATATCTCTGAAAATGTCCAATGTATTTTTGAATGCTGATTAAAAATGTGTGTTTATGTCTCTGTCTCCCTTTTTCAGGAACATATGCGGTGATGAGTGTGATGATAGGAGGGGTGATAGAACGATTAGCCCCAGACTCCAACTTTATGGATTGGGACAATGTGACCAACTCTAGTCAAGTCAACTTTGACTTACGGGATGCAGAGAGGGTCCGAGTGGCAGCAGCAGTAACCTTCTTGTCTGGAATATTTCAGGTACATTTGTGTTTTTGGATTCTCTGATTTGGAAGTGAAATATTTAGAATGTATCTTCTCACTGGGTTTTTAATGATTATTGGAAATAGATGCTATCATAACTATCAAAAACCCCTGTTGTTTGCAAGAAATGTATGTTTGACAACTACTTAAATCTTGCAGTGCTCTCTGAAGACAGCCAGTAGCCTACATTAACGAAGGCTTTAAGCCTTATAGGCTTATTCATTTCAAGGAATTGTATTGTTTAAAAGCATGCAGGTGGTCTCTAAACTACATTTTCAAACCTTGAAATTCCATATCAGCATATAAGTACTAGCCTTCACCATGACCTTCAGCTAGAAAACTCCTTAAGAAACAATTTGATCACTAGTAACCACAAAGGCTGGGGTTAACCGCAATTAAAACCAAAGAAGAAGGAGGAAAATACGTAAACCGGTGTCTGAGCATGCGCAGCAGGCACCGTTTAGTTGCGTGTGCTCAGGCGCTCAGGTGAATTGCTGCTGAATTGCACGTTTTAATTTTCACCATTTTGTGATATCTTTATAAAATAATGACAAGGTAAGTTATCAAGCAGTTGTTTTTGTGTGAATGTATATTTCTGACAGCTGGCTCGCTTAGCTCGTGCTAGCTAACGTTAGCTAAATATTAGTTAGCTAAGGTTGAATGTGTTAAGGAAATAATTATCATAGACGCCAAGATGTGACATACATACAGGACAAACCTTCATGTCTGTTTTACCTCCTTTAAGGACACAGGCTGCTTCAGCCAATAATGTTATTGTTCCCATTCTGTGACCGGTCAATACTGGGTCACAGATGGTCTGTATTGTGGGTACACTGCATGGGACACTTCCTTCTCTGTTGTCTGAGGACTCCAGGGCATGACATATGCAAGGCCATAAGTGGCGGAAGCTGGTAAATTAGTGTGCCCAAACTATCTAAAGCTATCTTATCAAAACATGTTGATGACTCTCTGTGGAACCAGTTAAACTCAGGAGGTGTGGTCGCTCCTACGGGGCATCGGGTTAGACTTCAATGTAAATTATATCTCAATCATGTATTGTATTCTGGATGAGGGGATGGACAATAAACACAGGGACCTTTTTCAGCTGGTAATTTGTATCACATGTATGAAGATCTATAGGTTACTTGCGTAACCCCAGTTCTCAGAGTAACATGAAGTGAGATGTCTCACTATGGGATGCGCCTCATCGCGGAGCAAACAGAAGCATCAATCTCATTACGCCAATCCTGATTGGCTGGAGATCTTGACGTCAGCGTCAGGGAAATCACCCCCTATAAGTAGCTTGCGCCACAACGCATGCGCCATTCAAAATAAGCACCTCTTCTCGCTTCACCATAGCAAGGAGGGCCGTCTGGTGAGACATCTCACTTCATGTTACTCTGAGAATTGGGGTTACGCAAGTAACCTATAGTTCTCATTCATAACACTCCGTTCGATGTCTCACTATGGGAAATTGTAGCTCCCGTATTGCCAGACGAGCTTATCTCGAAAATCACCAAACCAACCAGAACTTAACAGGTAGAGCTCTGACTCAACCAGGTGCCCAGCACTGCTTGAGTCACACTGGGAGCAGAACGTCCAGCCTGTTAGGAGGCAGACAAAAGTGAGCGGCGAGGACCAGCTCGCCGCTGCACCAATGTCTTTGATGGGAGACATCCTGGACAGAGTCCAGAATGCAGCCAGACTCTGAGTCGAAAGAGCTCGCGGACCCGAGGGTGCCTGCGAACTCTGACTCGTATGAGCCCCAAAGCAATTGCTTCCACAGACCAGTGGGAGAGCCGTTGCTTAGTATAGGCTTGCCCTTATAAGGGTTAGCCCAGGACACAAGGGGTTGGTCATTATGACAAAGCACCCTTGATCTGTCCCTGTACGTGCGTGAAGCACGGGCTGGACACGGCAAATCCGGCCGCTGTTCCCCGGAGGAATACAGTGGCGGGGGGGATGCCTTAATGTCAAATGTGGTACCCGAACCGACCGCCTTAAGATAAAGGCAGGGTCAGGCTTCAACCACACTCTGTTTGCCCTGGGGCAAACTGAGTGCATGACAACTGTACAGATAGTGCATGAGTGCCACTGGCTCGCTTGGCAGCTGCCAGGGTCAGCGTCATGTCACACTGTATTTAGATTGTACCACTCACGGGCCAGGCCCATAGAGCCAAGCGCTCTGGGTGTGGGTGAAAGATCGCCCCCCCCCGCTTGGGACAGTATGTCCCTGCGTAGTGGGAGCTGCCATGGCTGCCCGCACAGCAGCTGATATATCTCCGCTAGCCAGTACATAGCTGGCCAGTGCGGAGCTATCAGGATAAGTGTGTGGCGTTGCTCTCTCACTCTGGCCAGAGTTGGGGGTATCAGAGCCAGGGGTGGGAACGCGTACAGAAGGCCCGGGGGCCAATTGTGCGCGAGTGCATCCACGCCTAACGGTGCATTTAGATCGCGCATCGAAAAGAACAGCTGACACTGAGCGTTGTCTTTCGATGCGAACAGATCCACCGCGGCTCTGCCGTAACGCACCCACAGCTGGCTCACAATCCTTGGATGTAGAGTCCAGTCTGCATAAAGTGGTATACCTCTGGACAGTAGATCTGCCCCGAGGTTCCTCACTCCCGGTACGTGCGTCGCTCTCAGAGAGAGGAGACGCCTACCGCTCCATAGGATAAGTTTGCGCGCCAGTGTGTGTAACTGGAGAGAACGCAAACCCCCTTGGCGGTTAATATACGATATTGTGGTCGTATTGTCTGTCCTCACGAGGACGTGATGTCCCCTGAGGAAAGGCAGAAAGCGTTTTAGGGTGAGAAATACCGCTAAAAGCTCCAGGTAATTTATGTGCGCCCGCTGGAGGTCTCTGCTCCAGAGACCCCTCACCGGGCGACCTTCATAAATACCTCCCCAACCTGTCAGACATGCGTCCGTGGTGACCACTTTCCGTGAAAGGACAGCACCCATAGGCACACCTCGTACTAGAAAAGTCGGGTGCAGCCAGTGGCGCAGTGCCATTACGCATTTCACAGTAACCATCACTCTCCGCGCGCCATGGTGCGCAGGGTTTAGTTTTAGGGCGGCCACCCAGCGCTGAAACTCCCTCATGTGTAAGCGTCCCAGTCGTACGACCAGGATGGCTGACGCCATGAGCCCCAGCAATCGCAGGCATGATCTGAAGAGAACATGTTTGCGCAGCTGGAAAAGAGCGAGACAAGCTCTGAAAGCTTTCACTCTATCTGCTGACAAGCGAGCTGAAAAGGGCACCGAGTTCAGGTGTAAACCCAGGAAGAGTATAGTCTGCGCGGGGCACAACATGCTCTTCTCTGTGTTTATTATGAAACCCAGGTTGAGCAGGTGCTTTACGAGGACATTTGTCTGCGTAACAGCCTCCTGCTCCGACTGTGCGAGAAGCAGCCAGTCGTCCAGGTAGGTCGCCAGGCGAATACCCTGTTGTCTTAACGGGGCTATCGCGGCTTCCGTACATCGTACAAACACCCTTGGACTGAGAGACAGACCGAAGGGGAGTACTCTGTATTCATAACAGATCCCCTGAAATGCGAATCTCAGATATTTCCTGTGTGGGTAATATACTGGGATGTGAAAATACGCATCTTTCAGGTCGACTGATGTGAACCAGTCGTCTTGTCGCACGAGCCGCAGCAGAGATGTGTGAGTGAGCATTCTGAACTTATATCTTCTTAGATATTTGTTCAGAGCCCTCAAATCAAGTATTGGCCGAATTCCGTTCCCTCCCCGTTTGGGAACGAGGAAGTACTTGGAATAGAAGCCACCCTGACTCTGCTCGGCGGGTATAATAGATATAGCCCTCTTTTCTAGGAGAGAGAGAATCTCTTTCTCCAGAATATGGGCTGACTCTCCTCGGGCCTGCGAATGCAGAATGCCCGAGAAGCGAGGGGGGGTGACAGCGAATTGGAGTCTGTAGCCCCGTGTTACTGTCTTGAAAACCCAAGCAGATGATGTGAGCATCTTCCACTGCATGCTCCTTAGAGCCAGTGGAGATGTCACATCTCTTCCCCTCTGAGTCTCTATTTGTTGTGTTATGGGGCCCTCTAGTGTCTGAACACAGTGCTGCCCCCTTTCGACAATCCCCACCGACACTGCGCATGCGCATGACGGTGGTGCCTTCACAACCCCAGCCGGCACTGCGCATGCGCGTGGCGGTGGTGCTTTTAAAACCCCAGCCGGCACTGCGCATGCGCGTGACGGTGGTGCCTTCACAGACCCGCCTGTAATCCGCCTTTTGAGAGATGCCGAAGCTGCTCTCAGAAGGGGAACAGTTGGCGGGCTGTTTATTGGTTTTATTGTTTTTCTTATCATTTTTTTGAGCTGCGCCCTCGGCCTGAAGCCTGGATGCGTCAGCGGCAAATGTTTAATGACAGAGGAACAAACAGATTTGTGACATGTGTTTTTTGCGGACTTGAGGATGGTGTTGAGGCATCTCTCGAGGCGGCGGGAACACATTTAGAGCTGGGGAACCGTGGACTTCCAGCTCTGTCACGGAGGGGAGAAGGAGGGGCTGTCACGCCGCTCGCTTCTTCTTCCTCGCCTGCTGGCCGAAATTCTGGGTTGGCTGCGCCTGAGCTGCAGCCGGAACCGGAGATTTTCTGGGCCAGCTCGCCCTCGTCTCCAGCCTGGGCTGGGGACTCGGGGCGGGCTGCGACCTCTGCGTTTTCGGTGTTTTAAACCGAGCAGGGTTCAAGGCAGCTTGGGCGAAGGACTGCTGCTGCGAAGGCAGCGGCTGGACCCTTCGAGTGAGGCAGAGGTGGAGTGCCTCGTCCTCCCTCTTTTTCGACTCACACCTCCTTTGCATGGAAGCAAGAGCGGAGCCGAAAATTCCCTCGGGAACGATGGGCATATCCAGCACATCCTCCTTTTCCCGGTCTGGGAGGTTGGTGAGGTTGAGCCATCTCGCTCTTTCCTGCACCACCATGATCCCCATTGCCTTACCCGTGGCCTGGACGGCGCAGCGTTGGACACGGAGACAGATGTCTGTGACCGCCGCCATCTCGTCCAGAGTGGCTGCACCCGGGTTACCCGACAGGTCCTCGCAGAGCTCCGCTTGGTAAGCGGTTAGCAGCGAGGCCACATTCAGGGCCCTGGCGGACAACGCTGCGGCTTTGTAGGACCGTTCAGTCATTGTCGACTGAAATCGGTCCGACTTTGCCGGCAGCGTGGGGTTCCTGCTTGGTGACGGGCCCATCCTCGGTAGGAGGTGGGCTGCTACCAGCGGTTCCATGGGCGGTATGCGGAGCAGGCCGAGCTTCTCCATTCCGTCACAGTCTAGGGAGGAGGCACCCTGGATTGGGACCTTGTTGCTGAAGGGCCGGTCTCTCCACGAGACCGACACCTCATCCAACATCTCCGGGAAGACCGGAAGGAGTTGTCTCTTTGTCCGCGCTGCTTGGGGAAAATGTTTCCCTTCGTAGCGGGACCTGGAGGTCTCCTTGGCCATTTCAGGCCACGGGATGTCGAGTCTGGCCGCAGCGCGTTTGCACACGGCCTGCAGGTCCATACTCAGACAGGGCGAAGCTGGTATGCTATCGTCTGGGAGAGCAGCCCTCGCTCCAGGCTTTGCAGCCTGAGCCGATGACATGAAGATGTCCTCTTCATGTTCATCCGACTCGGAGAGGAGGAACACCGAGGCGTCCTCTTCGTCCTCGTCGTAATCCAGCTCGAGGACATCCTTCGCGGGTGAGACCATGGTGAGGTCTAACTGGGAGCCCCAGCTCGTTAAAGCGTGGGGTCCCGTTCCCGCGTGTCTTGCCGCCACCGGGTCCCGGCCTGCCAGGGCGCGGGAATCCGGTTCTGCGGCCATCGCAGATACTGAGCCCCAGACCGACATGGAGAGGGGTTCACTCTCTGTGGCAGATGCCCCCGCGTCTTGACTGCCGGCCGGCAGGTCAGAGGACATGGGGGGGTTCCTGCTCCGACAGGCTAGCTTGGCGTGCTAGCCGTCGGCGGAGGCTCTTTACGGTGAAGCGGACACAATGTCCGCACGAGCCGGGGTTGTCGATAGCGCCTCGGGCGTGTTCCAGCCCGAGGCAGGACGAGCAGACCTGGTGTGTGTCTGTGCCCGAGATCTTCAACCCGCAGCCGCAGAGTCGAGCCACCGAGTCCCTGACTCCTCTGGTGTGAGGGAGAGGGGCGTCCATCTTGTTCGCCTCGTGGCGTGGAGAGGACCCGCTCTCAACAGGTAGGTTGGGAGAAAAAGAGGTAACCACCCTGTCCTTAATCCGGAGAAAAGGACGGTGTGGGTCTTTTATTCCCAGAGAATACTGACTGGTGTGGCAGTATGCTCCTTTTAATCCTTTCCTCCTCCGTGGGGAAGAGAAAAGAAAAGACTTCCTCGCTACCGTGGTGTCGGTAGTGAGGGAGCAAGCTAACGCTAGCTTGAAAAAATCAGACCTAGCTTACTTTCCGGGGAAAGAGAGCGGCGAGGTCGATTTCAACAATAACTAGCGTTAGTAATTACCGTCTTCCTGCGAAGCAGAAGGAGTAGCCGGCAAGCGCCCGTCGACCGAAATGGATATTTGGGTTCAGTCTGTGGACCGTGAAGCTTGTCCGGCTACCATAGAGATGTGCTCTGAAGCGAGAAGAGGTGTTTGAATGGCGCATGCGTTGTGGCGCAAGCTACTTATAGGGGGTGATTTCCCTGACGCTGACGTCAAGATCTCCAGCCAATCAGGATTGGCGTAATGAGATTGATGCTTCTGTTTGCTCCGCGATGAGGCGCATCCCATAGTGAGACATCGAACGGAGTGTTATGAATGAGAACTGGAAAACAAGGTGCAAAATGGTACTAAATCAGACGATCATAAACACCATCGTGAAAAAATACTTAATGAACTAAGGAGAAAAAAAAACCTGGACAAATCCCAGACTCAGCCATGGGGCGTTTTGAGTCTGTGACCGAGCTGAGTCTCATTGGAATATAAACGTGCTCTCTTTATGTTATTTATATATTTATTCATTATGTCTTATGTGTATTATTAATGTAACTTGTGTATATCATGTACTGCCAGAATAATTATAAAATAAAGTTTTCAACAAAAAAAAAGAACCAGTTAAATGGGCTAGCAAGAGACAGGCTCTCCAGAATTGACGTGGCAACCCACCCGTGCAGTCTCACCGTGACTGCCGTGACTTGTGATGTGAATACTCTGGCCAGGAACTCCAAATAAATCACAGTGGTTTTGACATCAAAGCTCCGACTCTTCCCGTGTCTCCTTCCTGAGTCGGTGACTCCACTGCACATGCTACACAGAAGTTTCCTCTACAGAATGAAAGCATCGTTCGTGTGTTTACATTTAGTCTCTGCTCTGCTTCTTCTTTGTATCTGAAACAGGTTGTCTCTTTCCGAAACATTGTAAGATTAAATTAACTCCAGTGGTGAAAGTGTGCATATATATAGATACATGTATGCAGTGGTGTAAAGTAACATTGCTCAAGTAGCCTACTGTACTTGAGTACAATGTTGTAGTACTATTTTTTGCTACTTTGTACTTCTACTCCACTACAATTCAGAGGTAAATCATGTACTTTTACTCTACAATATTTATTTTGTTCCTTTAGTTTCTTTGTAGATTTTGATTTTAAAAAAACGTGAAATATAATCAACTTTTTAAAAATACTTTAGTTACACCTGGACTCCTGGAGTAACATTCACAAGCTACCCTGCAGTATACAAAGTCATTAAAACTAGCTTTGATAACACTTTAATGCATCAATAATTATAAAACATATCATATATATTATTCTGAAATGGACCAATCTGCACAATGAGTACTTTTACTTTTGGTACTTTAAGTATATTTTGATGCTGATACTTTTGTACTTTTACTAGAGTAACATTTTTATTGCAGGACTTTTACTGTAACAGAGTATTTCTACACTGGTACAGTACAAGATCTGAGTCCTTTTTACACCTCTGTTTATATATGTATGTATATTCCGCTCTGCAGGGACGTGCACAGACATTTGGAGGGGCTATTGCTCTAAACTAGAAAAAGGGCCCTGCCCCCCCCCCCCCCGAAAAAAACATAAGACCTTTTGAATTTTTTTCTTAATGAAATCCAGGGAAATCTTTTGTTTTGCGGTCCATATCTCATTAAAATATCTAATGTTACTAACTATTAAAGAAAAAATGGGGACAATTCTGTTTTAATGTAGGCTAGTTTGACCATTGTAACTTCTGTGCAGACATACAGTACTGATAAAATAGGGCTTCTAAGTAATTTTCTTAAATAAACTCACTAATTAAAGGTGGGGTAGGTAAGTTTCAGAAACCGGCTTGAGTGCACTAAAATTTGAAAGTACACAGCCGAAAAGAATCCGCCCCTTCCTTCAGACTTCCTTACAGAGCACCTCCTCCAACACACATGAACGCGCAATGCACGCCCAATTACGGCACACCCAATGAGGGCACGAGATACATTTGTGCGTGCACAAGATGGAAGGCTGACAGACAGGGCGGCAATCCAATCCGTTTAGCCGGCCCGGCTAAACGGATTGGTTGTACTTTTTACAGTATTACAGGTTCCACAGATGACATTTTTTTATGGATTTTTTGTCAAAGCACTTAGGATATTCATTGCTATCGGGATGTTAAGAGCATTCCATGGAATATAACAAAAAGTGTATCTCGAGCCGGTTTCTCAAACTTACCTACCCCACCTTTAATTAAACCAGTTCAATACGCATTATTCTTATTATTTTCATTCTTTATGAGCGCAGTAATGGTAAGGTATCTAATTACTTATTTATTTAGTATTCCATAACTTAATAACAGAGATGGTCAAACTAAAGTAGAGACATAGCAGAAATCCTACAATTGAAGCGGGACAGTGAAGTGTTCTCCGTGAGAGGGCGATCAAGAAAAGAGAGAGAGCGGCCCTGTTGAGGGAGTTTACGGAGCAGATGAAAAGACACGGAAAGACAGAAGCACAATAACAAGTATAGCCTATTTAGATTGTTTTGGTGTAAATAACCAACGGTGTCAAGAGGAAGAAAAGTCCCCTACTCTAACTGCCATGAGAAAACTCAAAATCAATTTAAGCATATTTAAAAACGGGGACATTTCCGGGGACAGATTGACCCGGGGATTTGCCACCAAAGCCAGGTGGGCATTTGGTATGATCACCATAGCCATATGAGGCCGGAGGGCTGTCCTTTGCTTTCAGCTGTCAGATTGTAAACAAAGTCACGTGACTGGGGGCAGATGACAAGCGCTGACAAGGTGTGTTTTATCGCAGCGAGATGCTACAATACTAATTGTGGGCTTATCATGTTTATTCGGCCACAACAGAAAAAACATAAACCTCTTGCTCTCTCCAGAGGGGCAGGTCAGCCAAAAATGGCAAAAGGGCCATTGCCCTGGCAACATTAGCCCGTACCTGTGCACGTCCCTGCCGCTCTGTATCCTGTGAGAATGTGCTGATTTCATTCCTCTCTTGAGCTATTATGTGCTGTACATTTTCCGCTTGAATAATTGAATGCATAATGGAATAACTATAAAATAATGACAGCATCAGTGCTTAGACTGGTTCACTTCTGAGGAAAACAACAAGCGATTTGTTTTCTTTGCAACAGTGGCACCAACAGGACACGTTAGATGAAAGAAAGGTCATCTGTTTTTACTTTTACATAAAGCTTGTGTGTGTTTTTTATTCTGTATTATGTCTGTAGATTATCCTCGGTCTGGTCCAGTTTGGTTTCGTTGTGACCTACCTGTCCGAACCTCTGGTCCGAGGTTACACCACAGGAGCTGCCATCCACGTCATCGTGTCCCAGCTCAAATACACCTTTGGCATCAGCCCGAGGAGATTTAATGGACCCTTCTCGTTGATATATGTAAGAAAGATGACATGCTGATCACCTGCTTGCTTCTACATGGTATTTATTTCTAAAAATGTATAAAATAATTGATATTTCCAAAGCAATTTAGTTTTTTAGTCAATGTCAACTGTAAACCCTAGACTCCTAGAGTGTCATCAAGCATCATGTGCAGGGAAATATAATATCTATAATAATTATAATAATATATATCTGCAAGCTTTTATCTCAACAACATGAAAGCTATCATTGTAGACATTTGATTCTGCCTTGTGATGACCGTCAGCACTACTGGCTATATACTGTATACTGTATACTGAATACTGTATACTGTGTAATATAGCCAGTAGTGCCGACGGTCCTCTCCATAATGGACCAGAATTAATTCATCTTATTATTTCTTTCTTTCCAGACTGTGTTGGAGATATGCTCTATAATTCCAGAGACAAACATTGGTACTCTTGTGGTCAGTATCGTCGCTATTATCGGCCTCATACTCGCTAAAGAGCTCAATGCTTACTTGAGTAAAAAACTACCTGTTCCTATACCCGTAGAGCTGATTGGTGTAAGTATACAAAGACTTATAATATAATGTATTGACATTTAGTTCCTTGCAAGTATGCACATACTATCACACTTACATCCAATAACACATCTGTGACTATCTGTTTCTACAGATCGTTGTTGCTACAGTGATCTCCTGGCAGGTTGACTTGCGGGCTAAATACGGAGTGGAGGTGGTGGGACTGATTCCCTCGGGGTGAGACGCACACACACAATAAACATAAAGGACTGTGTGATTACACGTGAGAAGGGAGTGTGAAATATTAGATATATATTGAGTCTTCTTTTTAGTGTTTTCAAAAATGACTGGCGTTAATGATAATACAAATCTGTAAGTAACCATGATTAATCACAAGTTTGACTAGTTTTGACTTGTATAATAGGGCGAGATAAATACATGGTTGGTCCAGTTTCTCCGCTTTCTTTGCCTTTTCACTGACATGCAATTCATAGTAAAAAATCTGCGGTACATTTACGGTGGGAAGTTGGGGTTGAACTTGGCTATGTGATGAATTTGTGTATATTTATTTTAAGGTTTCCTGAATTATCGCGAGGGTTCACATTAACGTTGAAAACCCAAATCATTTTCTATCCATTTCCATCAGCCTCCAGCCGCCGGTTCTCCCGACCGCCTCCCTGTTCAGTCAGGTGATCGGGGATGCCTTCGCTCTGGCTGTGGTTGGCTACGGCATCGCCATCTCACTGGGAAGAATCTTCGCCCTGAAATATGGATACAAGGTGGACAGCAACCAGGTAGGGAGAGGGTGGATGGAGTCAGAGTAAACTGCTCTTTGAAGGCGTATCTCTTGTATATAAACAGGGTGTTTTCTTTGGTTTAGGAGCTCATTGCCCTGGGTCTAAGTAACTCCATCGGGGGGATTTTCCAGTGTTTCGCCATCAGCTGCTCCATGTCCCGCACCATGGTTCAGGAGAGCACAGGAGGGAAGACTCAGGTTTGTATTAATAATGCTGCTGAAGTGCCCATGAGTAAAACATTGTGAGAGTGCTCTCTGTATAATTTCTGATATTGGTGAGCAAAGTAGATCTTATATGAGACAATTACTTTCTTTTTTAAATACTAGCATATTTTACTTTTAAAGTGTCCAATACCACACAAATTATTTTCTCACCTACCCGTGGAAGTATCCATGCAGATAACAAAAAACAAAACAATTTGCTTGGTTATGCCATTGCAGGTGTATAGAGTTGTTTTTTAATAAACATAACTTTTAATGACACTCAATGTATTTTGTAGGGGGGAGAAACTTGTTTATATTACATAAATAACCATATTTTCACACTCTTTTTAAAATGTCCACTGTATACATTTTATGCTGATTTTGTATTGTATGTAGTACTTAAACGGTCTGGGAGTACATTCCCTTAAAACCCAAATCATCACATCAGTAATGCTGCTTTTGTTTTTATTTTATTATTTAGAATGCATTTAATTTAACGTTCTATTTGGCCATTACCTGTACTCGCTAACGATGCATCTTAATACAGTTAAAAAGGCTGGGATATCTTATTTCCCAATTCAATTTAATGATATCTTATTCTTCTCCTAAATGTAGTCCACAGAGCTGAACACATTTCATCAACACTTGCAAGACATGCTGATTGGTTTGCATGCCTCGGATTCTTGATAACTTGATTTTACTTGACAAGGATTTTTCACAAGATACTTTTTCTTGTCAGTGTTTTCCTCCCATCACTTTACTCTGCCCATAGCTCCAGAACTGGGCTATCTTAAAGGTTAAACGAAATGTAAAAAAAAACCTGTAATAGTTAACGTTGCTCTGATAAGTGGCATCATTAAATATCACTTAGGGAATTGATTTTCGCTCACATCGTTGAAATCCACCTACACAAACAGTTTAGCTGAGAGGCTAAACGATTTAGTCAGACAACACCATTAATCAGCCGAGGAGTGGAGAGGCTCTAACTGATGATGCCTCGACTTCTCCTCTCATAATCACGTACCTATTCACTCTAGTAACCATTACATCATTCATCTTTCCTTCTTCTTCTCTAACTCGCCTTCCTTGATCTCTCCTGATTCCCATTCATCATGCCTCTATCTCCTCTTTCTTCGCTGCAGGTTGCTGGAGCTCTTTCCGCCATTATTATCCTTTTCATCACGCTCTGGATTGGAAGACTCTTTGAAGATTTGCCAAAGGTACTGAGTGCATGTGGATGTTCACATATGTGCTGAAGCATGTGGGTCCAAGAGAATGTTTTTGTCAGATGATCAAAATATGGGCAACAGCTGATGTTGGGTTGCTTTAAGACAGATAACTCTTCAGCTTCAGACTAAAGCCACTGGCTACTTTTGAAAACAAATGATTATAACATCAGGTTTGAATTAATTTATCACACTTGTATTTGTTAAGTTATTCATCGGGAACAATCCCTTTTAATTTCTGTAAAGCACTGTTACAATTTGAATATCATAAAGACTGCCATTTAGGGGTTTGACTCTTAGCCATTTGTTTGCAGTTTATTCAACAAGAACACATACAACTTTAAAAATCCACGAGAGGTTTATCTCAAACTAGCTCACCTTCATGTTTTAGGCCTCAAAAGTGATCCATATAAATTATTATATTTGACTCACTGTGCAGGCAGTGCTGGCCGCCATCATCTTTGTTAACCTCCATGGCATGATGAAGCAGTTCTTGGACATCCCTGTGCTGTGGAGGAGCAACAAAGTAGACATGGTGAGTATGATAAGAAGAAGAAAATAAAACAGTTTTAGGAACATACATTCCTTCATATGTTGGTAACAAGATGTACTGCACCAATGTGCATATCTTCCCTGAGCTTCACTAGTTATTTGTGAAAGTTGTTCAGACCAACAGTTTCTTTAATGAAAACTTTTCAGAACAGGATATCTTTTACACTAAATTATATTGCCTATTCTTCAAAGATACTGTGGTATTCGGACTTGCTAATATAAGCATGATGTCAGAAAAGAGTCTGCATAATAACATGCTAAGCAGTTAACAAGCTAAACTTTGAATACTTAACATTAGCAGTAATGACATTTTATCACAGCTTAAGGAGCTATTTGCTTGGTTTGTGACAAATTGTGAGAAATATGCTACAAATAAAATAGGAAATGTAGGCTATGTTTTCTCATTCCACACATGACACAGTGTACAGTATATGCAGCAAAAGCCCATATAGTAAATGAAATACACCTGAGACAAATTAGCTTAAACTGATTTGGCTACATTCAGGATTTAGGTAACAACACTAGCAAAGTTGTCTTGTTTTATTACATGCGTTGCTTATCAATCTCCAGCTGATCTGGGTGGTCACCTTCATCTTCACCATACTCTTCAACCCTGACCTGGGACTGGCCGCTTCCATCGGCTTCTCCATGCTCACCGTCATCTTCAGGACTCAGCTGTAGGAGCACATTTTTACACACTCACAATAAACACACATAACGTTTGTTTGGTAGGAAATTGTTTCAAGTTAAATATTAACCCTCTTTATTGTTGTGTGTACTCCAGACCAACATACTCCATTTTAGGGCAGGTCCCAGACACTGACATCTACAGGCCGCTGGAGGGCTACAACCAGGTATGGCACAATATATTTAAATAACCTCTAATTGGTGACTAATGGCGCATTTCCACTACAGCGCGGAGCTCGCTTTAAGCGTGCCGTGCCTAGCCCGTTTTTGGTTGCGTTTCCACTTGGCGTAGTTCCGGCTAGCGGGTACTATTTCACAGTTTTTCTGGCCCCATAATGGCGCATTTCCACTACAGGATACTCAGCCCGACTCAGCCTGGTTGTTGGCCCGGAAAGAACCTCGATTTTATTTTATTGTTTAAAGCGAGCTCCGCGCTGTAGTGGAAATGCGCCATAAAATCGAGGTTCTTTCCGGGCCAACAACCAGGCTGAGTCGGGCTGAGTATGCTAAACTAGAGAGAGAATCGCTGGCAAGGGGGCTACAACTACAACAAGATGAACATATTTGACCGTGATTTAATTGTAATACACGTTTCAAAATGATGCCGAAGTAACAACATACTGATACCGGTTAGTAAACACCATGAATTAATGCTTTGACAAGTCTGCAGACAGACGGCAGGCGAAAAACCTTTTAAAATGCGTGTTTTCTGAATGGAGATCGGCTAAGCTAACGCAGTATATGCTCCGACCGTCCACACTCACAACAACGGCCTATACAGACATAAATAAACCAGCGACTGTATTTGGCATGACACAGGCAGTCTGTGGTTTGTACTTGTTTAACTTCTGTCTAGTTTCTGAACAGATATGAGGAGCTGTGAGCTTGAGTGCTAACAGCTAACGGCTGATGTTGTTTTTCTGTGGTTCGCATTGAAGATACACTGCGTTACTATAGTTACTGCCCCAGCTACTAAACTGTAATGGAAACGCAGCATAAAGTGAGCCAGTTCTAACAAGGCCTAACGAGGCCTAGCCATACCGAGCGAGGCCCTGAAATGCGCCATAAAGTGACTAATGTCAGTAGGCTAAAGGTTTTAAACACACACTTAGGAGTATATAAAGCCTACTGACATTGTGTTTCTTTTGTCCCCGACATTATAACCAAGAGTCAAATATAGAGGTGTTAATGGGAGTTATGTTCCTCTCTGTGACTCAGCAGAACACACTGCGCTGTTGAAAAACAATGCTGCATTCCAAATACAAACCATTTTATAGTATATAGTATAAGTTATAGTATAAGTATTATTTACTAACTTCTTTTATTTTTATATTTTTATTTCTAACTGAACTACGTCCACTGTTGGGATATCTTTATTTTTGAAGGGAGAAATCTGTACCTTCTGTATATCAGACAATAACATGAAATATCGGTGAAAATGAAATAATACAAGATATCACAGATACTCCATTTCTCACTGTTCTTTAATTGATAAGATAATATAAAAGGTACCGTTGTGTTTTTTTTGGGGGGGGGGGGGATTTTCAGGACTTATTCAAATCACATTGATAAGATTGTTGTTTAAATAAAAGAGCAAAGAAACAATTTAGATCGGACAACAAGTACGTTTCTCTTATGTGTTAAAGGTACATCTAGAATTAAAACCACCTGAAGATTTAATTTTGCAAGCTTTTTGGCTATTTGTAATATCTTACCATCAGTAAGTTTTGGTCCTACTCGTGTTTTAAGCCTTAAGCGTGTTGTCGCTATTGTTGGTATTTATGGCCTGTCGAAACGTTGACAACCTTTGTTTGAAATTGCTCTGAAAGTTGGTGCCCTGAGGATGCTTTCTTTTTTGACCCCCCTCTAGGCCACTAACCTGAATACAGACAGCTGTGGTAGCTAGTTAATGGATCACTTGTCTTGGTGAAATGTGGTCCCCTGAGGATGAATTCTACTTTATTTTGTGTTCGGCTGTTGTTCCCTCTACCGCCACCATAAGGGTTTACGTGAGATGTCTCAATCACAGTTGGATGGATTGCTTTAAAATGTTGCACACGCATCCATATCCCTCTCATTGTGGATTGTAATAACTCTGGGTTTAGTGATAATAAGCTATTTTTAGCATGCTAACACGCAACACTAAGGTGGTGAACATATTAAACAGCAGAATTGCTTAACATTAGCTTTTTAGCTGTAGAATTTACCCCATAGCATGTTTAATGAAATAACTCACTAAGTGACCCGTTGATTTCAGGTGAAACGGGTGCCAGGGATTCTGATCTTCCGTTCCTCTGCCACTCTCTACTTTGCCAATGCTGAGATGTACCAGGAAGCCCTTGGAGAGAAAGTGAGGCCACACACACACTCACACACTGTGGTGGGAATGTATTTATCAAATGTGGATAGAGAATCAAACCATTCAGCTGTCTTTGTCGTATTTTATTTCTTGCAAGAAAGTTCAGTCAGTCATACAGAGAGCATACAGTCTGCAGAGTGAAAGACGAAGAACAAAGTTTGGGTTGCATAATTCAAACACAGAGAGAGGACAAAGGGAGGGGTTGAGCTTGGTGATAATGAAAGGAGCATTCTGGAAGTTAGGGAGTTAGGGAGGCCATATCAGGATGTTCTCAGTTCACCTGAGTTGAAGGTCATACTGTTGGTGCACATAGACTGTAACTAACAACACTGCAACAAATCTTCTTAATAAGGAATCTTCCCAAGCTTAGCTAAGAAGTGTGAGAAGTAGTAAATATAGATAAACATTAGCAAATAAGAATCACTCAATGATATTATTAAAGTAAGTAAGTGAGTATAATATTGTTCTATTACACACACACACACACACACACACACACACACACACACACACGCACACACACACACACACACACACACACACACACACACACACACACACACACACACACACACACACACACACACCACACACAACCTTATCATAAACCTAAAACTGTGTCTGCACCCTCAAACAGAAGTGAGAACTGGCAAAATGTCATCACAAAGACACACTGGGTTAAAAATGCATATTAATGTATATGTGTGGACCCCCGGACGGTATCATACATACAAACACAACTTGATGGACACACAAGCAGAAATGTATACAGACATGTGAACACACCACAGCAACGCACACACACACGCACACACACACACACACACACACACACACACACACACACACACACACACACACACACACACACACACACACACACACACACACACACACACACACACACACACACACACACACACACACACAACACACACACACACACACACTAACTCCAATAATCTCCTTTGTCCCATTTTCAGTGCAATTATCTCCTCTCTTACAAACATTATTTCTGACACACTAATAACAGACCTGACATTTCATCATTTCACATATCATGTCCGTGACAGGCATTGTTCAAAATGTCACCCCACCTTTATTCCCTTCTCCCTTCTTTCGCTAAACTTTTGTTTAAACACTTCCCTGATCTTCTTTCCTCCCCCCTCGTCTTCCTCCTCATCTTCTGTCACAGCTCTTTGGGGGGAAATGGGAAGACAGATTGTGGGAAGGTAAAAACACAATGACAAAAGATGGAGGTGGGGTGAGAAGCCGAGATTGAATACGAGTGGGAGATAATGGAACGTCTCATTCATTAAAATGTCAGCACGTCAAAGCCGCTGGGTCGCTCGTTTCTTTCTAATCTTTGACTCTTAAACAAGCCTCCATAGAGCCGTTATTGACTGGCAGAAGCTGCATGTCTGGTTACAAGATGAGGAATGCCCACCAGATGAATTCCGGTCATTTTTGGGGTTTAGATGATGTCTTTTTTCTCCACCAGTCTTAGTGGCTTGAATTTTGGGATTATTTTATGAATAATAGTGCAAGGTGCTGGGAGAATGTGGGATCATTCACTGCTTGTTCTCACAGGCAAAGCTGAAAGGGGATATTTATGCTGTCATTGCACACATTATTGATTTGTACTACTTTCCCATCATGCTAATAAATTGTCCCAATGAATGAATGTCCTATAAATTCCTTAGAAGCATTTTTAAGATGTTAATTGCTATCAATTTAGTTTTGAAGAAGTAGGAAGGCTTAAATGGCTGTTATAATTGTGATCCACTTTGCAATTGCCATGCAGACATTTTATTCAGGGCATCAAAAATAAGCATTGAAGATCTGATTGGCTCTGGACGACTGATGACCATGACCTTATTTCTGTCATTTCCATTTCCTGGTTGGCCATTAGTCCTTAGTTATGGACAATTCTTGTGTTATGTACAGACTGTGTATGAAACGTATATAAATGTGGGGACTTGGTTATTTCCTTATGACAGCTCAACAGAAACAGATAAAGGACAGGTTCACAGTTGTTCTTGTCAGTCTTCAAACACTAGTCAGGTGCAGCTAAGATGATATGTAGAGCTGTGCTTGTGACTGAATGTTGTTGGCCTGTGTACAGAACAGTATTTGTAGTATAGTATTTTTATTAGCGCTATACGCAATGTTGTCATTTCATTTTTGTGGATGGGAGTTCAGTGCAGTTTAAAACATTTTGTCATGAATGACATCATTAAAGGTCCCATGTGATGGCCATTTCCACTGATCATAATTCCATTGTTGAGGTATACTAGAATAGATGTATACTGTGCAATTTTCCAAACTCACATTGGTTTCGCATACAGCATCTCTGTAAAGTATGTGTATTCAGCAGTATTCACTCTCTCCACTAAACGGCTCGTTGCAGCTCTTGCCCCCCCCCTCCCTGTGAGCCCAGTGTGCTCCGATTGGTCGGGACCAGTCGGGACGTTGTGAATCGCGCTGAGCTCCGTGGAGGTGTGATTTCCTTGTTTAGCGATACACAGCGAAACACAGCCAAACTCACCCTGAGCACACACAAAGTCACAGCCGAAGTAAAAACAATAAGTGTGGCTTGATATTGAGTAAGAAAAAGGTTGATAAACGCTGTGAGAATGGGTCTGCAGAGAGAATTTCGCCGCGATCCCAACTGTCTGTTATCAGCCTGCAGCCAGGGTGGAGAAATCAGCAGAGCTGCCTGCACTGAGTGTGTGAGGAAGTCCGTGGATTGGTCAATTTGGACCAATCAGCGGGGGCTTAACGTAACGGCTCCGCGGACGTAACGTAACGGCTCCACGGATTGGTCCATTTCGTTCCGGGGACGACATGACATCATGATGTACCCGGAAGAATCAAATGGACAGTGACGTATCTCCAACGAGGCGTTTTGGGGAGGTATTTTCTGTGTTAGAGTTCTACTCGCTACATGGTGTACTTTGAGGGTTTTGACTCTGCACACCATTTACATGCATAAAAACCTTCATAACACACAAGGGGACGGGTACTAACCGGAAAAGCATGACATGTCACCTTTAAAGTAAATAGTTTCTGGTCTTTACTGTTGATTCAATAAGGTGAGTCATGACAACTCGGGATCTGAGCAAGTTCTCTTGTGTTCTTTAGGCGTGGGAAAACTCATATTTATTTTCATGTTTTACTTACAAGACGGAAACCCTCCAGCAAATAAATGCACAAACATCCTGAGCATGTAAGACATTTCTTTCAACGGCTGTCATGCAAAAGCCTGTTGTTGAGTGTGGACGATCAGGTTCTGCTCTGCTGGTTTATAGTTTATTTTTGGACTGAAGACTTTTGTTTCTTAGGACTAGTTGAACAAGCTAAACTGGCTGAGAAAGGTTTGTCTTCCTGTGACTACCTTTGAGCCTTACCACCCAAAATGACTAAAAGCATGGCAACATTTTACATGTCTTCCTCTTATTGGGTTGAAGGTCTCAGAATCATTTAATGCAAACTCATTTATCAAGACCCTAACTTTTAATTGATTGGTCATTTTTGACAACGAAGACAAAGTGCAGTTGGCATCTAACCAGGAGTGAAAAATAAGCAGTAATTGCAGTGTATTGTATAGTATAATATACGAATATATGACAGATATAAAAAGATTTCAACCAGGTTATGAGTGGAGGGGAAGCAAGCTCCTTCTAAACCTGCTGGTCCTGGTACTGAGGTACGGAATAAAGCTCACATTGGTTTAAAAGACCTCAAATTTGGTTTGATAGAAATGTGATCCACTTTGCAATTGCCATGCAGACATTTTATTCAGGGCATCAAAAATAAGCATTGAAGATCTGATTGGCTCTGGACGACTGATGACCATGACCTTATTTCTGTCATTTCCATTTCCTGGTTGGCCATTAGTCCTTAGTTATGGACAATTCTTGTGTTATGTACAGACTGTGTATGAAACGTATATAAATGTGGGGGACTTGGTTATTTCCTTATGACAGCTCAACAGAAACAGATAAAGGACAGGTTCACAGTTGTTCTTGTCAGTCTTCAAACACTAGTCAGGTGCAGCTAAGATGATATGTAGAGCCGTGCTTGTGACTGAATGTTGTTGGCCTGTGTACAGAACAGTATTTGTAGTATAGTATTTTTATTAGCGCTATACGCAATGTTGTCATTTCATTTTTGTGGATGGGAGTTCAGTGCAGTTTAAAACATTTTGGCATGAATGACAAATGAACGACATCATTAAAGTAAATAGTTTCTGGTCTTTACTGTTGATTCAATAAGGTGAGTCATGACAACTCGGGATCTGAGCAAGTTCTCTTGTGTTCTTTAGGCGTGGGAAAACTCATTTCATTTCATGTTTTACTTACAAGACGGAAACCCTCCTTTCTTTCAACGGCTGTCATGCAAAAGCCTGTTGTTGAGTGTGGACGATCAGGTTCTGCTCTGCTGGTTTATGGTTTATTTTTGGACTGAAGACTTTTGTTTCTTAGGACTAGTTGAACAAGCTAAACTGGCTGAGAAAGGTTTGTCTTCCTGTGACTACCTTTGAGCCTTACCACCCAAAATGACTAAAAGCATGGCAACATGTTACATGTCTTCCTCTTATTGGGTTGAAGGTCTCAGAATCATTTAATGCAAACTCATTTATCAAGACCCTAACTTTTAATTGATTGGTCATTTTTGAAAAGGTTTAACTTTACATGAATGTGGAAGGAAATACAACAGACAGACCTTTCTTGTCCACCTTATCCAACTTAAACAATGTAGGAATCTTTATATCAACATACCCAAAGTTTTTTGAAGTCTCTTGGGAAGATAAAGAAGACAACGAAGTGCAGTTAGCATCTAACCAGGAGTGAAAAATAAGCAGTAATTGCAGTGTATTGTATAGTATAATATGCGAACATATGACAGTGTGAAGCTGACAATTGAGCGGGCCCGACCAAGCAAGGAGGCAGAGAGAAGCCTCATCCCAATACCCCTCCTCGACTCCTCCTTTCCCTCACTCGCGTCCCTTCCTTGCATCTTAGCTCCGCCTCCGTAAGATGCGAGCGAGGGACACGAGGAGGTGACGCGAGGACAGAGGAGTCCTCAGGTATTAATTGGGATGTCCTCGTTCACTCAAACGTCACTCTTAAACGACGTCTGTTAATGATGACATGGGCACAGCTGTATCCCCTCTCATCGGGCTTAACGGAATAACCCTTTAGAACCGGCCCATTTCTGGTTAAATATTTATTTAAATGAATGAATCTTTCTCTTGTTAGTCAAGGAATTCAATGATGGTTGGTCCTGCTTTTGTGTTCCGTTTTGGTGTAAATGTAGCCTACATTTAAATAAAAATATAATTATAGTAATGTGTAAGCCTTTTAGAAATGAATTGCACATAATAATTCCCACGGAGCTGTGAGCACTTATACATTTATGTGACGCTTTTCCACTCATCTTCCAGTTGTCGGTTTTCCTGTGTTGAAATCGACCAGCTGTGAAGGTGGGGGCGGGGCTTTTATACGCGAGTAGTGAAAACACTTCCGCGTAGTCTGCTCGCGTGTATCCTCCCTTTCGTCTCCTCCCGCACCCCTCCTCCCTCACCCCTCCTCGATTCCTCCGTGTGCATTTCAGCTATTGGGACGTCCTTCAAAATGGCGTGTCTTGATCGATTTCCGGGTCAAGTCCCAGAGGAGGGGAAGAGAGGAGTCGAGGAGGGGTATTGGGATGAGGCTAGAGAGTTCAAATATAATCCGGTGTGGGCATTTATTCATCACTGTGGGACATGATACACAGCCTCAATATGACTGTCTCATGTGAACACAGTCACCAGCAACAAGGATCTCTCACACACACACTAACAGGAAAACAGAACCTAAATACACCCAGGACTAATCAAACCAACAAGACACAGGTGAGGGGGGAGGAGACAACACAACATAGGGCACCAGGTGAACACAATCACCAGCAACAGACAAGACGGGAGGGGGAACACTTTTCAAAATTAAACAGGAAACAGAGACAGACAAACTAAAACATAGACAGATCGCGACAAATAGATGCATAAATTACATGTATATTCACATTCTTCCTGTGCAATGTTTTGGTGTAGAACAGATCAATATACTTCGCCAAATATTAAGCTATATTATCCGTAACGGAGGCCGAGATCTACGGCTCCAGAGATCACCTCCATTACAGACAGATATAAAAATACTTCAACCAGGTTATGAGTGGAGGGGCAACAAGCTCCTTCTAAACCTGCTGGTCCTGGTACTGAGGTACGGAATAAAGCTCACATTGGTTTAAAAGAGCTCAAATTTGGTTTGATAGAAATTATATATTCTATTATTCCATTTGAAGCACCTACCCACAGGCTCCGAAGAATTGGTCCAGCTAAAATAACTCAAGAGTAAGCATGGTGTGACTGGCTGAAGGAAATCTGTACGTAATTCACTCTTACCATGTCATTGTCTTTTGATGCTTCTTTTAGTCCGGTATCGACATTACCAAGTTCCTGTCAGCAAAGAAGAAACTAGAGGCCAAAAGGAAGAGGCATGAGAAGAAAAATGCCAAAAAAGCTGCAAAGAATAACGCAGTGGACATGGTGAGGATGACCATAGACATATTAAATGTCAATACAAAAGAAGAGGTTTTTTGTCCCTCTATATTGGAAAACTTTGATTGATAAACAGAAATATAAGCGCAAACACTTTCAACATTCCTGACACTAAACCTTGACGTTCTTTAGTTACCACTTTTGATTGCCAATCACCTTCTTAAGCTTCTCATTGAACTTTAACCTCTAATGAGTGTCTTTGCACTGTGCCATGACTCCCCCCGTACAGGAGGAGGTGCCAGAGAGGGAGGAGCAGAAGGACATAGCCATCATTGAGGTGGAGGATGAGCCCGACCCCTCTCTCCCCAGAGCCATCGTCCTCGACCTCAGCCCCGTCAACTTCCTGGACACTGTGGGGGTCAAGGCGCTGCGCAGTGTAAGACTATGTTTCAATATGTATTCATCATTTTGAGAAAATTACATTTAACTGAATTGTTGTCGTCCAAACGGCTCCAAGAAACAGCCACTACTTTTTTTATTATTTTTTAACTGGCAAACATTCTCAAACTGTTATCTTTGCTTTATACATTTGACTTTGCGTTTCTCAACAACTAGAACTTTCTCTCCTCTCATCCCTGCCTTTGCTTTATCTTTTAGCTCCTTGGGCATCCAATTACTGTAAATGAAATTGTCAGACTAATGAAATGATCCCCAGTCTGACCTTTACATTTGTGCTCGTGTGTCTATTCCAGATCCAGAAAGACTACGGGGAAATCGGTATAGAGGTTGTCCTCGCTGGCTGCCAAAGTAAGTCCCTCTGCAATAATAACATTTGAGTGGATTTTTCAAAATATAGAAATATCAGAGAGGGTATAAATCTGTTGAACACCAACACCAGAGCAGCTATGCCGTTTACATAACTTCATATGACTATAGATCTACTTTCTGTATCAATGTTACCAAGAATATAAATGATCCTATCTGTTTTGAATCTATTAAAACTGCATTTGCCTTTTATAAAATGATTTAAATCCATTTGAGTGAATCTTCCATTGTCATCGTTGGGGATCTCCTGACATTTTGATCATAAAATGAGATTTCTTTGTCCCAAATGCTGTAGAACCATCAATCATCTTTTTACCCATTGACATTCCAGACCCAATTAGCCACAACCCATTTGGATTCATTCAACAACACACAATGTTATTTGAGCTGCTTGATGTTATGGAAACATGTACGGTATGTGAAGGAAGTAGTTTCAGAAAACACTATTCCATGTTTTCCAAATCTGGAATATAAGGCAATTTGGGGTCATGAAAAGATTAGTATGCATCGTAAGGATAACTAAAAAAGGGAATACTGAAATCTGGCTGCCATGGTTGGGTTATTGTGTCGAATAAAGCATCAACCCTGTGACTTTTTACATTGTAGCCCACAAATGTGTTTTCTAGCTGGAGAAAATGTGGGTCTCTAGGGAAAATCTCTTTCAACCATAGTGATCGAAGGCGTCCAGTTTATTATATTACTAGGATCAGCAGCTCTAAACATGCTGTTGAAAGCCCGGAATGAGAAAACATATTTATTGTAAGTGTTAAGGCTCGCAAAGGGACGGTAAAAGATATTTACGCAGCCATGACTTACAACGAGGTTCAATACACAGGAGGACTATTCCTCTCTTTCTGACTCCTTTTTTCTTTAGGTTCTTGTTTTATTTATTCTACAACCTTTTTGTTTACTTTATCTTCTTTGATAACTCTCTATTTCTCCCCTTAATTTCATTCAAATTCTCGTCCTCTTATACTTGTGTTTTCCAGCTGGTGTGGTGGACAACATGCAGACTGGAGGTTTCTTTAATGACAAAGTGACAAAGGCCTGTCTCTTCTCCTCCGTCCACGATGCCGTTTTGCACTGTCAGTCTGCCAGGACGCACAGCCAAGATGAGGCCATGTGCTGTGTGAGTATGCACACATGCACTCAATCAGACACTTCATCACAACAAAAAGTACTGAACTGTGCAAGTTCACGTTTTTTGATTTCTATAAAGTTACTCGACAGGGGATATACAAGACGGAATTGTTAAAAAGATTTACCTACTTTTTCTTTAAGTTTGGTATGCTCAAAAGAGAATAATAGTATTAATGGGCATCATCTACTGTTACTATAGAGAAAATCCTATCTAGAGGCATAACCATATTACACTTATTGTTGTCCTAATAAGGAACAAAACCTTGCAGCATTATTCAATTAGAAATGTGGTGGTGTGTATTAAATTAGTTTTATAAAGCCTATCCAATAATGGCTACAGAACTGCTGTGCTCCTTGAAAGTCACAGTTGACTTCTCTACTCAAAACAGCGCAACAAGATCAACACACTGACATATATCCTAGAAAGGTAGTATTGTAAATGTGTTAGTGAACAGTTGCGACTTCACATTGAGTCGACATGGAGTAACATTATCATTAATTATCATCCGAGTTCATTCAGCAGTCAGTGGTGTGGGGATGATGTATTAAACTCTTAATATCCTAATGGACAATGATTAAAACGTTTCTGGTTTGGTTCATTGATCCTCAATCTGCAGCGTGGCCTGGACTGCTGATTGAAAAGGAAATGGGATTTACAGTGAAAAACTGTATTTTATATATATATATATATATATATATATATATATATTAAATGTATTTAGATGCAAATAGCTTTTTGTTTTTCATACACAAATACTTTATTGTACGGATCATCATCATCAATCCGCTGTGACATATGGTATTGTGTTTATGTTAATCTAATGTATACACCTGTGCTTGCAGGGACGACTGTATATTATTCAGTGTGTGCTTTTGTTTTAGTTTTACTGTTTAGTTTGATGCGTGAGTTTGTTTCTGCTCCCATAAGAGAGATCTAACAGAGAACAAAAAGACGAGGCACTGATCCATGAAAACAGTTTACAGGAGCAAAGGCTTTTTCATTGGGGAGATACGGAGCTCACACAGACTCTCACACACACTCACACACACACACACACACACACACACACACACACACACACACACACACACACACACACACACAGGAAAATAAAAATACAAAGCCTGTAAGTGAGGGGATGGTAAAAGAAGCATGATGCTGGTCAAGGGAAATAATTAACACACACACACACACACACACACACACACACACACTTTACCATGCATACAGGTATATGCAACTGTCTAAATACATTCATGCATACAGATTCATATGTGCTGCCCATCGTGTATGAATACACTGTACATGAGAGAAGCAATAGGTGGGTTTGGAAACCCATCTGGCCTATAGTGTATCTCCACTTCATTCCATTTCATAGAAGCATTTCAGCACCCCCGAGGCACACCACAAATTCAATATGTAACATTGAACGTAACGCAGTGAATGCATTAAACCAGAGGGCAAAGTAACAAATAAAGATTTGAAATAGTTTGAACAATTATTTTTAAGAGAGCGGCCTGCTTAGAGACAGTTTAAAGCAAAATGTTCACAATCCTGCTCTGTTCCTCCTCATTAACCTCCAGTGAGACGTTCATGCAGCTGCAGAGAACAAGAACAATCTGGAAGGCATTTGGACAATCTCCTATCCTCTTCATCCTCTTACTTTGTTCCTGTCTTGTTCTTCTGTGTTTTGATTTCTCCTTTCTTCTGTTCCACAGGAGATCCCATCGACACACTTGTGAGCTGTGAGAGGAACGATGGAGGTTAATTTGAAGAAGTGACAGAAACTGTCAGTATGAGCATTTTATCCAGTGAGCTCCACAATTCTGGGAGTCACTTACACTCCAACTTGCAGTCGTACACATATTGTAGCAAAGAAAATGACAACTTAGTACAAACATGCAGTCAAAAATCGAATAATAGCTTAAGCACACAAACATTAAAAAACATTCAATTAGTTTGACTTTATTCAGTAACAAAGCATACTTGCTTGGAGGGTTTATGTATGAACAAATCTGCCAATGTTCATGTACTGAATCACAAGCCTTTAATTGAAAAGGATTGTTATGAACCTCTCCAAAAAACAGTTTTGTTTTTAATTTCCTGTGAAGACGTGTCATCTTGGTGACGCAACAACAGGAAATATCCAAATACCTCTGGACTGGTAAAACTGATGCCTCCCATATGGAAGCAGGGTGTTCTCCCTTCCTGTCTCACTGCGACCAGCAGCTTCAATCACAACCAGGCTCCCGTCCGCACGTTGTTTATTTCCAATTGTGTTCAGGGAACTTGTTTATACTGTATAAGGAGTTGTTGATGACGCTCATTATAGTAACTCAAGCAGGGAGAATGTAGCAGTAGGAACGATCACAGAGGAAATCAAACCCACAACCACCCCAGATGTTCCCATAGTGTACCAAACGATAGATAATATTGTTAACCTGTTGTGACCGTGAGTCTCTTAAGAACATTCTGTGTGTTGATTAGAAAATGTAAAGCCACATATGGAAACGCAAATATGATTCAGAAATGTATCACTTTCATGTTCGCTGTTTTATTTTTGGAAGAATAAGAAATGTCTGTAAACAGTTAGAGAGGTGGATAGAGAGTCAAGTCCACCAACAGCAACAACAGCAGTCCTCTGGTAACTGAAACCAGTAACAATGAGTAATTGTTTATTGGAATTGTAACACTGAATCATACTTAGTTGTAATAAAAAAACACTATTTTACAGTATTGGCTTTCATTTAACATGCATTTTATTGTCTTGGGCGCAAGGACTGACATGTTTTTCTCCATGGAGTCATCTACAGAGTTATACAAACAATGTCTAAAAGATACTTGAGTTGCTTTCCAACCATTACCTTTTTTCTGTCTCGTTATATGTGAACTTCCTTTTCCTTTCACTTAATTGTTCAATCTGACATCGAAATCACTTTTCAGTTTGAAGCGTTGTTGTCCTTCTGCCCTTAACAATCAATAGAAAGAAAGGCAGTTGTCTAGAGGTCTGGACCCAGGATAGATCTTTCCAAACCTTGAAACTGCACTAATCGAAACGTTTATAATCTTAATGGATCAAATAAGGATATGTTACATGAAAGGGGTTCTTAGTAAGATTTATCACCAACTCTGCAGTTCTTCTCACCTCTGGAGCACAGAAGATCAGATAAACCCGAGCTGAAAGAATGAATATTGGACCAACACTTGTCAGGTGGCCAGAAACAGGATTTCCAATGAATGCTTATATTGCTCTGTTTTTCTGTAAATACGCAACTGTTGGCTAACAAGTTTGTCTGAACATAAAGGCGCCCCAGTGGTGTTAGCTTGAGAACAAACAATAGCTCCAACAAACCCCCAACCATAACACATTGTGACACCTGTGTGTAGGAAATGACATTCTAATTACATAATAACATCTAACATCTCCACTATATATCAGTAGTTAGATAATGTAATATCATGTTAACAGCTTCTGCTGCCCCCTAGTGACCAAAAACAAACTATGAATGCTGCTTTGACCTAGTATTTTGCTCACCTTATCCTAACCAAAAATGAATAGAGGTGTTGGATCCCAACATTGTGCATTAATAATTGTGAATGTTTTCTTTGTCATGCCAAACAATGTTCTTATGACCTATAGGATTTTACAAACAAAATGTCTTGTAATTTTAGTGAAGAGAAATATGTTCTGTTATCAGGTGGAGCACTGCAAATATTAAAAACACGGGCTCATCCTCATATGACGCTATTTACTCAGGAACATCAGAGGGTCTGGTATTTACAAAATGTGAACCATGTGGACTCGACCTTTTTTACATAAATGAGGCTAACGGAAGGGGTGAGAGAGGAGAGCTGTACCTCCGCCTCTGGGGAACATTTGCAATGTGAGTGTGTGTGTGACAGAGAGAGAGAGAGGGTGTGTGTATGCATACTTATTTAGTTACAACCCAAACGGCGCTGACTGCATTCTTCCCTTAGCGGGTGGCAAGAGAGGAGTGTCGGAGAGAGGGACATACACAGAGGGAGAGAAAGAGTCCGAGAAGAAGTCGAAACTTCACTGCAGACGCTCCAGCACAGGTTGGTCCTATTTCTATAATATATTTGTATACCTGATTATGGACTTACAATAACAAAAGACTCCAGTGTATTTTATCTTAAACATCAGCATATTTTCCATACTTTGGTTTGAACCATGTAACTTGTAATTTGCTGAGATGTTTTCACATGTCTCAGCTTCTCCAAGATTAGACTTTTCGCATTAAACCCGCAGACAACAACATTGATGGCCAAGCGCGTGTTTACTACAGGTGCAGTGACATCGATATCAGCACAGTCCAGTTGAATCGATTATTTGTATGAGCTTTACTTAAAACACTCTTATTGCAAACGTTTGCCTTCTTCCAGGATGCATGCAGGCACTAATCGCACTGCTGACCCATTATTTAGATTATGAACATGTGCATGAATGTGCACTGATGGTTTCAGCAGAGATGAAAACAAATGGCAGTTCCCAGCAATAATACTCACACATCCTACAGTGGGATTATTTCTACATGTGGACTGCACATTTCTCTCTGTTATTCATGTCTTCTGTTATGATCCTGCCATATGCAGCTTAAATTAATGAGCCATATTTCCCCGCACAGGATTGGCTGCAAAGCAGAAATGTTGCCTCTTAGTGAGGATAACAACACTGACAGACGCGCGGATTGATCTGTTTTTCTATAAAGCTCACCAACAGTAAACCACATAGTTTACTTATGTTTTATATTTGTCACTTGCGACCACCTACTAAATACTGAAGTAGCCTACAATTTAGGTTGTCAGTAAAACTGAATTTCGAAACCCGATCCCCTCAGGAAATAGCTCCACACACAATGGCTATTTTTACCTCCAGCGTTTGCTCCGCGTGCACACGGTCCTCATTGTAATGCTGCACATGCCTTTAACATGATGTAGATGTCCCTTAGCTGCACCTGATGATGCTGTGGAAAGCCTCGTGTGTAATGCGATGGGGAGGGGAAGGGAAGGGGGTGTGTGCTTCAGAGAAAAAGATGAATACTGAAAAATGATTTGTGTGTGTGTGTGTGTGCGGTTCTGCAGAAGTATGCTGGAGAAATATTTTGATATAACTGATTTCTGTTGTGATGTTTTTAAGCCTTTATGCCGAGGAAGCACCATCACATGTCCGCGTGTGTGAAATATATTTTTCATTTTGTATACATGCATAAAGATAGACAGACAACATATGTTATTGTACCCATTTAACATCCATTCAGTTGTCCACTCATTGTGAATGTTTAATCATATTATTTTATTCTGTAGTTATTATTTGTTTTCTTCCCTTTACTGTATGGAGTTGTGCACGTTGACAGTAGCAACACTGCTTTTAATGTATAGTTATTACAATATAATAATATTGGTATGGATTCCGATAGACATAGGGAAGAAAATAAATAGAGAGAGAAAAAGAAGAAGAAGAAGAGAGAGGGGGAGCTTTTGTAAAACAGAGCATATTGTCTCGTGACGTAACGGCGGTTGTTGCGGAAGGTCTGATAACATTGCCTATAGTGCGCGTGTCCGTATGTGTGTGCATGCAGCTCAGGATTCCATCCATCATATCCTAACGGACATGCCGTGTCTTTAGCGATGCATGCCTAACACGCGCACCAAAACCAGCTAATAAATAAACAATGAACGCCGCGACCACCGCCAGCTGCCTGCTCGTCGCCGGCGTCAGCTACTACCTCTACGGCAGCGATGTGTTGATGTCGCTGCTCCGTGTTTTCTCCGCAGACTCCTCCATGCCCGAGCCGGGAGCTGCTCCGCGGCGGAGCCCGCAGGGAGTCCCCTACAGCGACCTGCAGCACCTCGTCAACGCCGACGGACTGCACCTGTTCTGCCGCTACTGGGAGCCCGCCGGCCCGCCAAGGTCAGTGGATAAGCTGTTTGACTGGTGTACGGGCTATGTGTGTGAATTAGGCTACTGGTGTCATTTTAAGTGTTGGTTAAACTGTAATGACCCCATTATCATGTGTTGGTGAGGGATGTGACACTGTTCACGTGGTTGCTTTCAGTCCTGGAGTAAGTCACATGGAGTTAAACTTTTTTCCCCCGAAGTGTGTGTGTCCAGTTTACAAAGGGCACAGTTTGGTATTTCGTCCCTCACACATCAAAATTAATTAACTTATGAATAATTAGTTTGTTAAACGTACGCCCAGGAGTCATACCTGACTGGTCCAACAATTTAACCGTCAACTCTCCTCATCTTCCATAGGAACACCACCAAATGTGCTTATTGTAATCTTCATATGGGTTTCATCCTTTATATATACAGTCTATGGTTTCATCACGAGAAGTAACACTGACTGAAAAACAGCCTACTTTGTTGGGCTGTCCCTCAGTAACTCTGTAATAAATACCCATGCAGACATTTGGCCCCGCTCCATGCTAACAATACATCATCCATCTTCTTTATTTTAAGTCATATGACATTATATAAACTTCTTAACTTGATGCAACTCAAACACAACGCTATGTCAAATTAGACAACAAAAGGACATTAGAAGCATACAATTACCTATTGTAAAATGGATATGTAATACATCTGCATGGTCTTATCCTGAGACCCAAGCTTGGTAGAAACATTTTAATTATGTAAATCTCCTCGTGACCACCATATGCACCAGGGACTCATACTGGGTCATGACCCCGTTTTAAGAAAAAGATTGAAAACTGTTTCTAGTTCAACCCACTAAACAAGCTTAAACATTTTGTCAACACATCAAACAGTACACCTACTTTACTGTGGTTGGATATTCTCTTGAGCTGCTTCTCAAAGTGTGGTCCGCGGACCACTGGTGGTCCGTGAGTATATTGGTACAATTTCACATTTGAAATAAATAAATAAATGTAAGTTTTCCGCACTCTCGCGGGAATATCTCCGCAATGGAGCGAGCTTAAGTTTCACTTTCAATTGCATGATATAGCCCAGATAAACACCTTCATCATACATGTGGCCACTTGTTTGTACCATTTTCAGGCGATTTGTAAAAAACAATGTGTTTTTGGATATTTGTGGAGTTAGGTGGTCCGCGAGTGTTTTTTTATTGGTTAAGTGGTCCTTGGCATGAAAAAGTTTGAGAAACACTGGCTTAGAGCACAACAACATGCAGGAAGTTACAGGTAACAGCTGAAAAAACGGATTTATTACATAACTCACTTGTCAATATTGCTATAATAAAGTGATTGTTGCTTATCCCAAATTACATCAAGCAATACAACCAGATGAATAATGGGTTCAGTTTAAAAAACCAACATGCTTTTGCTAGTGGATCATTCTCTGTTTTTGAGGCCCCTTTGCTATGCACTCCGCTGTGGAAGTGCATGAAACCGAAGACAGATGTCACGCTTAACCTCGCTTACAGACCACATAGTTGCATGTGGTGTGAAGCAAAGACGTGAAGGGATGTGTCAGAATGGCCCACAAAACATGTTTCAGTGCTTCTGCTGCATTTTTGCTCAACAAACCGCTGCTCATTATTCGGCAGTGATTGTCTGGGAATAATTTGCCCTGCATTTCCTCTTTCGCCCTCTGACGAAGATGCCCAGCCTTGGGCAGCATGCTATCTCCCTTAAGGAGGGGCTGCCCTAGCATTTTGTTGTTGTTACCAGTTTATGACCGGGCAACTCTCGGTCAGAGATAGTTATTGTTGTGGGACACCTGGAACA